ATACAAGACCTTCTTTAATGTTGGCACACCAAGCTGGACGATCCTGTGGCAGTGTCTCTCACTTCTCACAATTGATACCAAAGTTCTTCACAGAGACCTTGACAGTGTCCTTGTATTGCTTCTTCTGACCTCCACGTGAGCACTTGCCTTATGTGAATTCTGCATAAAATAGTCTTTTAGGCAAGCGTATGTTTAGCATTCGAACAACACAGCCAGCTTGTCAGAGCTGTACTCTCTGCAGCAGAGCTTGAATGCTTGGCAGTTTCAACTCAAGAAATGACCTCAGTGTCTGGTACCTTACCCTGCCAGGTGATCTTAAGAATCTTCCTAAGACAGTTCAAATGGAATCGGTTCCATTTTCTGGCATGGTACTAATAAGACTGTCCAGGTTTCACAGGCATACATCAATGAAGTCAGCACAATGGCTCTGCAGACCTTCAATCTTGTGGGCAGCCCAGTACTTCTTCTCTCCTACACATTTGTTCTGAGCCTCCCAAATGCTGATCTAGCTTTGGCGACTGTGCACCAACCTTATCACCTATGTGAAACAAGTCTGTGTGCTTGCTCCCATGCTTTTTAGCATGATGTCTGCAGTGATGCTGTCATATGTCTTCAATGAGTACAAAAACAGAGTACAAAAAAAAGGTCAACTACCATACTGATGGTAAATTATTTAACTTGAAAAGAATACAAGCCAAGACTAAAGTGGAGGGAAAGCTGATGCAAGACTTTTTGTTCACAGATGATAGTACACTCAGTGCAGCCTCTGAGGCTAAGATGCAACAAAGTATGGATTGATTGTCTGCCATTTGTAGTAATTTTGGCCTACCAATCAACACCAACAAAACAGAGGATCTCCACCAGCTAGCATTGCATCATCCATACGTGGAACCATCAGTTACAGAAAATGGAGAAAATTTTGAATGCTGTGGATAAGCTCACTTACTTTGACGGTATACTTTCCAAGGATGTCCACATAGGTGATGAGGTTAATGCACTGAGACCTTATTACAGATACATTCAAATCAACATTTAGAAAACTCTTATTCTAAGGAGGGGGATGTTGTACAACTTTTGGCATTTCTTCCCCTTTGATTCTCAGAATAGGGTGTATTAAGTGGATTCCTTTGTACCCCCCCCCCAATTTTCTGGACATTAATGGATTTATTAAAGACTTGGATTTCTAGACTGTTTTGCAGATTATGGCATGAGAAGCAATTATATACATATACACATATGTACATACATACATGTACGTATATACATACACATACATACATATATAAATATAGGTAAAACATGCACATATAAGCACTAAATTTTATCTCTTTCAATTAAGGCTGCTACATATACGTGAGCATGTATATGTACGTATGTAGCTATGTATACTTACATATTAAGCATATTTATCATCTTTGACAGAAGAATTCATGAAATGTTATTTCAAATAAGTCATCTAAAGTATCCAGAGGGAAAAAAATCAGCATCTCCTTTTGATTGGCTTAATTATAAGATTTCAAGTCTTGCCATTTCTTTGACTGATATATGTGGAAAATCTTGCAAATAAACTACAAATGGTAATACATGCAGGCCCATGGTTTTTGTCTTATACCAGGTGTCTCAAATGTCTTAATGCAGTTGCACTGATAGCTTAAAACTGCACTAAAACTTTTGGGACACTTTGTAATTATGTCTATTAAAATGACTGACATAAGGAATACAAATCGAGGGGCAGCTGGCTGGATGGCACAGTGGATAGAGCACCAGCCCTGGAGTCAGGAGGACCTGAGTTCAAATCTGGCCTCAGACACTTGACATTTACTAGCTGTGTGACCCTGGGCAAGTCACTTAACCCCGATTGCTTCACTAAAAAGAAAAAAAATACAAATCAAGACCTCATAATTTGCCATGGAAGATAGCATTCACAACCCTATTCTGTGTGTAACCAAAAAAAAGCGCCCCACATTTTCTGGGCAATGTTATCACCTAAAAGAAGATATCTGAGTACTTGAAAAGTTTTGATTTGAATTACAGAAATAAGATTTAAATCCAAGGAAATGAGACTAGCAATGCAAAAAAACAGACCAAAAAACCTTTCCACTCATGCTGAAATAATAGAACAATTCCCTTGAAAATCATGACCAGAACTTGAGATTTCAAAATGAGATAGCATTATGATATGTACATACAAACATGCAAAATTATATAACCACATGTATACCTCACCATAATGTGTCATCAATTTTACTCATTAAACTCTGATGCAGGTTCATTTTAGTCCTGTCTGATTGTCCAAAAAAAAAAAGGTCTTTATAACAAACAATTCAGGAATGCAAAATTTTTCTTGGCAACAAAACTAAATTTTGTTCTTATTTGCATGAAGAATAACATGTCCCACAGAGCACTTTCTGTACTTCTCTGATGCATTCTATCTATGGGAATAACAGTATCACATAACTGAAAGGTTTGTTGTACAGAATAAATGACAGTGTATGCAAAGTGCTTTATAAATATCATCTGTGTTTATTATTTATAATCTTGTGATTATAGTTTGCTGCATGTGTCTTAAATCCTTACTTTACTGTAAGTACCATGCAGTTTAGAACTCCTGCCGCCTTGTCATCAATCCCTCAAAAAATGTTCTGTACACAGGGAGGGATTAATAAATGTTTACTGAGTTGGAATGAATTTGCTCTACCTTCTCTAGTTCATGGAGCCATATTGATGTTCACTTTTCAGCAAGGGTGAAAAACAACCCTGGAATAAATCATACAACCTTCAAAGATACAGAAAAATCCAACCATTTCAGACTGTATCAGTAAACTCTGAAAGTGAAGTGGACACAACTCTGGTTTCCCAAAAGATCAAAAGCTAGAGGCTCTAGCCCTGCCTAGGAACTTGAATGAAATATTTTTAACACTGGCATGTTACCAAAAGACTATAAAAGTATAAACCTTCAATTTACCTTTTGTATTTACTGTTTGCTTTCCCCTTCTTGTTCCTTACACATTGTAATCTTGTTTCAGTCCATATATCACACCATAATAACACTTACTGCTCTTTTAAAGATTATAGAATATTAAACTACAAAGGAACCCACCTAAATTATAATATAATACTGAGGCTCTTGAGTCCTCTTTTTTTCTCCTCCCTATTCTTTCACTGGATAAAGGCAGTGTAGCATACAGAAAAGAGAGATGGTCTTAAAGCTAAGAAGACCTCAAGGTCTTTCTCTGACAATTACAGGTTCTCAGACTCTGTAACACTCTAAGTTGTAGAGAAGGTGCCTTGGTCAAGACATCTTGGTTATCTGTATTGGTCAAGATAGTTTCCAGGAGCTCCCCTAATGGAATCACAGGTTCAGTTCCTCTCCCAACACCTCCATCCTCTTAGTGATTTCATTGCTCCCATTTCCTCAAAAATCACCTTGCTGTAGATAACTCTTACATAGCTATATCCTCTCTCCTGAGCTCTGCTTCTGCATCATCAACCACCCTTCCGAAATTTTTTTGTAGATGTTTCAAACTCATTCTCCTTCTCATAAAACACTTCTCTCACATAAAACACTACTGTTCTTACAGGTATCCAAGTTCTCAACCTCAGTGTCATCTATCTGCAATTCTTTATTCTTTCTCTCCCTCATGTAACAAATGAGATGCCAAGTCCCAGTGATTTTAACCCCACAGCATTTCTTGCACCTTTCCATTTATCCCCACTCAAATCACAACCATTGTAGCCCCAGTCATCATCATTTCTCACCCAGACTATTGCAACAGGATCCTGATTGGTCTCTCTGCCTCCAATCTCCCTCCCTAGAACCCATTCTCCACAAAGGTGTCAAACTGATATTCCTAAAGCTCATGTCTGACCAAGTCATTTTCTTGTTCAAGAAGCTCCTCTGATTCCCTATTGATTATAAAATAAAATTGATTATAAAAAAAAGAAATTCTCTTTTTGGCATTTAAAGCTCTTAGTAATTTGGCACCAGCCATCTTTTTAGCTAAAATGTTCTACTTGCTGTTCCCTTTAAATTAGGTTCAATTTTCCATCTCAATGCCTTTGTCCCTCTGGCCTGGACCTCATCTCTACCTTTTAGAATCTGTAGCTTCAATGTTTCTCTCAAATGCCAACTCCTACATGAAGCCTTTTAAAAAATCCTCTTAGTTGTTAGATCTCTCTGGCCTCTCTAATATTTTTTTTTTGTGTGTGTGTATGTGTATGTGTATACATATATATATATATATATATATATATATATATATATATATATATATATATGCATGTGTGCGTATACACTCATACAATATATAAATGTATATATACATATATACATATACATATATCATCTTTACTTATCTCTAAATACATTATTTCTCCCCAGGAGAATGTAAAATTTATAAAGACAGTAGGGTTTAGCCTTTGGATCACCAGTACCTAACACAGTATTTAGCATATAGTTGGCAATTAATAAATTCTTACTGCAGTCAGGAATATGATGTTGGACTATTTGTACTCAAGGGATATGATTTTTCTTTCAATATTGAGGAGTTATGGTACAAAATGATTTGTAGTCATATTTTATTATTTTAATCAACTAATGAAATATGTTCAAGTACCCCTGGGCTCAGGATTGTAATAGGTACTTTAAGGGATACCAAAAAAGTATTTGAGAAAACCCAAAAAACTCACAACTTTGGGTCTGTACATTTTTTGCTATGGAAAGAAAACACCCCTGATCATTCCGTGGACCTATAATCAGATCATCTCTCCAGGGATTGCAGGATAAAAGAGGTTTGATGGAGAATAAATATTGTACTTAGGAAACTGTATAAGTACTTACCCAGATTTAAGTTTTCAAAGAACGGTAATCCTCTGAAAAGTGGAGGATTATAGATGGTCAGTTTTCATGTGTTATATTTCTTAAGAAGTTAGGCCACATAGATCTTAGAAACTAATAACCTGATTGCTTTCATGTTGTCCATATTTCAGTATTAACTTACCTGTTGAAATGGTAGATATCTTGTATGTTTCCAAAAAGGGCAGATCTTTCCTCAGCCCCCAGAGAAAGCCTGGATTGATCTTTGATACAATCAAGATAATCCTGTGAAATCAATGAGAGTGGAGTTATTTTTAATTATGTAAGATGAATCCTTCATATCAGTTTCAAATTGTCATTTCAGTAATGCACGTAATAATTCTACTGTGAGAAAACAGTCATTCTTTTATTAAAGATAACCATACTTACCTATTTACTGACCTCAAGAAAATAACAGATAAATTAAATAATGAGTAACATGGAAACAACATGATGTATGTTTATATATCCACTTGCAGAAAACTATATGTAGACTTTACTCACATTGTGACAGTGTAATAGCCACAATTAATTAACTGATAAAGTCAAATTTTTCCATAACAAAATATTATTTCTTTGAATGACTGAAACGAGAGAAAAACTTCATGGTGTTCCCAATGTAATTTTGGAACAGTTAAAAATCAATTTGTTTTAAAATTAATCTTCTATAAATAAAAATCCTCGACAATTCTTCACTTAGACATTAGTTTATAAATGAACAACACTTTAGCTGTTAGTTTTGTTTATAAGTATATAACATTAATGAAACATGAGTCAGTCAACTTAAAGGATTTTTTTCTCTGATATAATAAAAGTTTCTATATAAAACTTGGATTTCCACAGGGGTTTTGATTCACAGTGGGTTGAATTTTATCTGTCTGAACTCAGAGACTCTTTCTGAGCTGCTGAGATGGAAGAAAACTGTTCCCCCAAGATCTATGTCTGAGAGTACCAGTCAAAAGAGCTCATAATGAAATGTCCCCCAGTAATGTTTGCAAAAGAAGTCCGCAGGAGGCAGGAAAAAAATAAAGGAAAAAGTGAAAACAGCTGAAATAACGTAAAATGAAAAATAAATAAAACCCCCTACCCTGAGCTGAGCAATGTAGTATGGCATTCAACCAAGGGCAACATAACATTCCATGGCCCCTCACTTTGAGGAAGTAACCCCATGAAATGTCAACTAGAGCATGAAAATCTTTACACCACAACTGCATTCCAAAGTCTGATAGCAAACACAATAGTATTCTGATGCACCAGTTAAGGGAAAATTGAAACTTAAGTACATCACACAATTGATTCTTCTGCCCCTCTGTAATCAACACTCATTATCTCAATTTCTGATGAACTCCTCAAATAAGAGTAGCTTTTCTTAGCTTCTTTGCCAAAAAGAACACCTGCTTGAAAATCATGGGGTTGGGGAACAATCCTACCAGAGACTTCAATGATAACCAAAACTCTCTCTCCAGAAAGAGAAGCTCTTCTTTCTTGCAAAGCAACCTCAAGGAGCCCACATGGTTACTGAGCAATGTTTGCATAATGAATAATGAGAACAAGGTCCTGGGGCTCCTCAACCTTCTGACATTTTGTTTGTATCTCAGGAGTCTTCCAAAGGAAGTCAACAGCCTCAGGAGTTTGTGGAGGCAAGAGTGTAAATTGCTACAAACCCCAGGGTCAAGGAGCCCAGCAAGAGCAGGACCTCATCTGACTTTCCTTTGGGTTTGTATTTATTTGAGTAGTGGATATTCATTACCAAAACAGAATAAAACTGAACTCAAAAGCAAAGACTAAGTAAGGGGTGAGTGTGTGGAAAGAGTGGAACCTCAAAGTGAAAGAGAAAAATCTATACAACAAATGGTAGAATTATTGTGTTTGCCCTCATATTTCTGGGAAGAACCATAAACAAATTCATGAATCAGAGTTTCCTGTATAGTTATCCTGTGAAAGGTACTGTCATTTGAAGGCTTTGAGTCTAAGTATGAATAACCACAAGTATTGTTGGCCTGTTGAAAAACACACAAAAAATGAAATTTTAAGATACTTCCAAATACCTTCTTTTACCGAATGGTAAATTGATAGGAGGTAGAAAATTTGAGCTTAAGCAAATGATTAAATGTTAACTTAATGGCATCTTATTTTAATGAATTTACTAACCGCTTTTAGGATGACACATATATCAATATCAATGTTGTGGTCATCACCATCAACCAAGCAGTATTTACCGAGCACTTACTCTGTGCCAGGTACTGTGCTAAGCACTGGGGAGGTAAAGAAAGATGAAGACACAGTCCCAACCCTCAAGGAGCTCCCATTCTAACGGGGGAGACAACATGCATAAACACATAGTATAAATGGGAAGTAATCTCAGAAGGAAAAAAAACCTGCATTATCTCTTTCCTCTACATTATCTTTCAGAATCTTCAAATTTTATTTTTTAACCAGGTGAACTTAGCTAACTTTACGAAATGGCCTCAATTGTTTTTCAGATATTTCATAGCCATCCAAACTGAGAGTGTTTTTCAAGAGTTGGGGGGGGTAATTTGAGCAATTAAAAAAAATTTTAGGCAATTGGGGTTAAGTGACTTGCCCAGGGTCACACAGCTAGTAAGTGTCAAGTGTTTGGTCTGAGGCCGCATTTGAACTTAGGTCCTCCTGACTTCAGGGCCAGTGCTCTATCCACTGTGCCACCTAGCTGTGGGGGGAGGGGTGGGATGTAATTTGGACTAGCTATTAGCAGGATCAGGTCAGCAAGTTCAGGTCTGCTAACGATTCCATTGAGTCTGCTGATTAATATAAGATGAAGGTTCATATTCACCAATCTCTCTGGTTTCTTTCAAGTCTGACTTTTTAAAAATGACTCCCCCAAATTAAATATAAAGTGCATTTTGAGAAGCAAGGCCAGTACAAACATGATGCGACAGAAGATGAGGAGCAACAAAGCTCTAGTTTAGAGGTTCTTTTGGGGGGGCATGGACTCCTTAGTCAGTTTGAGGATGTTTATGGTCCCCCTTCTTTGAATGATGTTTTTAGATGCATAAAATGATAATACATAGGATTACAAAGACAACCAACTATACTGAGATGTAGTTATTAAGATACATATATATTTTTAAAAGCCCACAGACCCCAGGTTAAGAATCTCTGATCTAGTTATATTGAATTCCACTGCCTGGGTCCCAGAACAGCTGCAGAAAACTAGAGAATAGGAAACTAATCCTCCCTCCTCACTTGAAGTTCAAGGCTCGCTAAATTTGCAGGAACCAGATACTAAATTCCTCATGTGAGGAAAGGATTGAGTTAAAGAGTACTTAGAATTTCAAATGGGGCTAGGGACAAAGAACCATGGCTTCCCTCCAACAAATCATGGCCCACCTCCAACTGAAAAGACTTCAAAACACCAAAGCCTATAGTATAGAGAAACTGTATTAAAAGGATGCTTATTTTCTGAAATTGTTCAGAACATAAGAGTGTTAGGAATCCAACTTTATGTAAGCCAACTGCTGAAAGCAGATCAAAGTTGTATGGTCACAACTTGCTCCCCTCACCAATCTTAATTAAGTCTTTTAAATGTGATACTTTAGCCCTAAATCAGTTACTAAAAACTACTACAGAACACACTATATTAACAGTTGTAATCATCTGAAACCATAATGAAAGGTTTTAGCTCCCAGATAACAGTCTATGCTTTATGGATAATGACAGTACAGAAACAAGGGAAATTTATTGGTTAACGTCACATTGCTTATTGATTTCATTTGCTTCTTGTCAGTCCTTGTGGTTACTCCACTTTCAGGAACAAACTCTATGAAAAATCATAATGAATCCCCTTGCTTTTTCTCTTCAACTGCTTTTTTCATTAAATATTGAACTTCTAGTTACTGGAAATATTCAAGTAGAGGTCGGATGTCCACCTGTCAGGGGTGCTAGAGAAGATGTTCCTTGTGGAAAAAAATGATATGAGAAAAGTTGCTAAAGTGTGTCATCGTACCCATAGACCTAAGGAGGTCCATGACAAGACTGAAATGTCTTATAAATATCAAAATATTCCTTTGATCACTCTGTAGTAGCAAAAACAAAATAACAAAAACCGGAAACAAAGTGAGAAAACACAGTTTAGGATGAAATGCTGAACAACTATGGTATGTGAAGTAATAGAATATTATTGTGCGAAATGATGAATATAAGGTATTCAGAGGAATATGGGAAAAACTGAATGGATGCAGAGTAAAAAAAAAGCAGAATCAGGAAAAGAATATAAATAATGATCACAATAGGGTACATACAACAATAAAATACATTAAAAATAAGATTAATGCCATGAGAAGTCTTTTTTTTTTTGGAGGACTAATAATGAAATAGGGCAGCTAGGTGGCACAGTGGATAGAGTGCTGGGCCTAGAGTCAAAATGACCAGAGTTCAAATGTGGCTTCAGACACTAGCTGTGCGACCTAACCAAGTCACTTATTTCTGTTTGCCTCAGTTTCCTCCTCTGTAAAATGAGCTGGAGAAGGAAATGGTAAACCACTGCAGTGTCTCTGCCAAAAAAACCCCAAATGGGGTCGCTGAGAATCAGATCCTACTGAAACAACCTGACAGCAAGAACAAACAACGAAAGACATTCTCTTCCTCTCAGTGGAGATGTACTGGGAAGTAGCCTACCCTAGCAGAGGCAGTTGTGTTGGTTGGTTTTGCTTCATCAGTATCATCTATTGTGCAAAAAAAGGCATCAGTGAAATAGAGAAAAAATTAAATTGGTTAAGAAGACTGAACTAGATTATCTTTTTAAAGTTCCTTCCAATTCTAAAGTTCTAAAGACATTTCATTCTGAAGTAATTTCCTTCATGATTCTATTCTGAAATTATATTTAAATATACATATGTGTAGACTGAAATAGTCAAATGTATCTATGATTTCATAAATTCTAGAGTTTCTTCCAGTGATGCCAATCACAATACATCTGTGATGACTCATTTTGTATAATTCTCATCCATGTCTTCCCATGTCACCCATGTCTTGCCATGAGGGACTGACTTAACCTGCTGGGGAGGCCTTGTTCACCTTTTCCAGAAATCACAAGGGTACCAATGGGTACCAGTACTCTGTACTTCCAGCTGTCAGCCCTGACCTTTGCCATATGATTAGCCCATTTTCCCTGTCATTTCTCAATGACACCTTTACACCTGTTATTCTTGAGAGTTGCCAGTTTACTATATGTTGGAGCTTGCTCACATTCACTATGGGCCTTTCTA